ACTATTAACTTTCTGATTTCTTTATGCGGGAGATGATATACTCCTTTGGTAAGTCACAAACGGGAAGTCCACGTATAAAATGTTCTTTAGTTAGAGACATCTGACGTTTCGGACCAAACTCTCTCCGTCTTCAGAGTTCATTCCTCTGTTCCTCGAAATGAACCCGTTAAATTTTAGCTACGAACCCGGTTCGAATAAGGCTCTGGGAGGAGGATAATTTCACTAAGCCTGACCTTTCCTGTTGCAGTTTACCATTGTGAGATGCAGGGTCGTTGCAGTTCTTGTTATGGTTGATGCAATGGTCGCGCTCTCTTCTAGTGCGCATTTATTTTTTCTATTAATTAACTATATGCATGGAAACGTTTAAATGTTTTTAAAGGCTGAATATTTTTCATTAACGATCACATGTGTCAAGATGCCTAAAACACCCTCATGCTTCGTCAAAAGGGTTCTGATGGAGGGGCCATCTTACTAGAAATGAAAGTCGGATTCCTCTTTTATCTTTCTCTCACTGGCGAGTATTGCAGTCTTTCGATAGCATCATCGCTATCCACTAGTTGCGTCATTGTCAGCGTAGTGGATCATCATAATGATACTATGCGTTGTGGTTCGTAAAACCTGGACATTAAAATCATTTAAGTCATGGATATCTCAGCTTAGCCATTGCTCTTTGTATTTTCTGCAACTTCTGACCAATAATCACTATAACTGCTATTGACGATCTCAGCGTGAGAACTTCAACAGGAGTTTTATCAGTCAGTAGTATTATATAGTATTTGCCTTATTTTCATGTTGCTTAACTTTCAGGGATTAGCGATGTTTTACAGGAATACGCTTGGTATCACGGGTGCTTGTCTCGTGCGGATGCTGCTAAGTTGGTGCTTCAGGCTGGCCCAGAAGGACATGGACTTTTTTTGGTTAGGCAATCAGAGACACGCAGGGGAGAGTACGTTCTGACATTCAACTGTAATGGAAGAGCAAAGGTAGGCGCTACTATGGTACTTTATTACTGTCGTTATTCAGTTAATCATTTTTGTTATACTGTGTTTCAGTAGTATCTAATCTAATCTGATAGTATCTAATTTTTTCCTATACGTTATTTGTCATTCTGTAAAACTCTGCAAAAAGCTTTGACAGCTGTATTTCCTGAATTGCTTTGAATTGCGATTGCCTGATTAGAACTTCCCCGAAACTTGCCCATTGGACCCCGTCAGTTTGATGATTTGATTAGGTCATTGAGCATGACGTATATAATGTTTTCTCTAGAAACTCAGTTGAGCTTCCTCTCTTTAATCAGGAAAGGTTTTTAACGCGCCTCCTCCATGCCATCCTGTGTGATTGCAGCTATATCCAAAACCGAGTATCAGAGTTTAGTCCTCTGCTCAGAATTTGTGCGATGATAATTGGTAACCGTGACTACTTTCGGGATGAATATGGTTTCCGCTTCTTTTTGAGTTTATGGTCAGATAAAGGTTGTCTGTGACAGATTTTAAAAGCAACAGTAAGCAGACGGTTGCTTACTCTTTCTCACATTCTTCAACCTCTGTCAGGTCATCGTCAAGGGAAGCGTCGTTTCGTTCTTCATCATATCGAACAACATTTTCTTTTCTTCTTTGGTTCTGTTAGTATTTTGACCCATTTTTTGTTATCATCTAGTCTTTGTTTCCTTGTTTCTTCGAATAGAGTCTGCTCTCATTGCTCTTGGAGATGCCCCTTACCTAAGCTTGTCGTTTCAAATGTAGTGCTTCTTGTCGTTGTTGCGACACATTTATTTGAGAATTTTATTTTTGCAATGTCAGCTTAGAAGTAAAACTGCTTCAAATGATACTTGTGTCATCTCCATATCGTCTGTACCTAGGCCTTCCTCAACTTTCCGATGTTTGTTTTTAATCTGTCCATTGCTCAGGTATACTTGATATTGCTAGATCATGAGTACTGTCTAATTTATAACTGTTTATATCATATCGTAACAGTGTCATGACGCTTTACAATATTCGAAGTAAACCGCATGACTGTGTGAAAATTGCCACATTTTGTGATGGAGCTTCATTTTGGTTTGAACTGTTTAATATTACAGAATTCCGATATCTTGCAAAATGTTGCCGCGGTTCTGGCGATGTCTTCCAAAATGATTCTTATTTTCTTTATGAATACATTCATAGATTTATCTAAACATACTTTAACTGGCTTTTAGTTAGTATCTAGAGTATTTCCAGAAATACCTCGTTTTATTTTAATGGAAGGGGTCTCCCAAGATCAAAATCGTAACGTAAGGCTTACTATATGTTTATTCTCTGTTTTCTTTATTTAATAGTTCAGCGATTTTCTGCTGTTAAATTTGAAACTGTTTAGCATTTGCGCATCACCGTCCTGTCGAATGGGCATTGCAGAATCCAGCACCTTTGGTTTGATAGTATACTCGACATGCTAGACTACTTTCGATCTCATTACATAGCCTTAGAAAACGTAGCCACTGGTGGAATTGTTCTCGGCGACTATGTAATAGGTACGTGATTTACGTCATCTCGTTTTTTAGGCAGAACGGAGTCTGGCTTGAAAGTGAGCAGTTAGAATTAAAGTAATACTCGAAGAGTTTTACTGATAGTTTTTCAGCAATAAATTTTAATTTATGACGTTCAAAGATTTCCTGCATTCAGAATTTGACGGTCGTTTAACATTAGCCGGTTCATGAGTGTGAAGGAAGTATATAAGTGCCATAGAAATTTCGAGCGCCTCTTTTCAAACCAATCAGTTTTTGTTTACAGAGCTCATTTTTTGAGTTTCTGGGGCTGCAGCTTCTAGAGCATTTTCCAGTGATCATAAATTTCAGCTTGTCTGTATTTGAAGATGCGACTATTATATGCTGGATATACTCAAACGATTGGGTGCT